CTCCAAAAGATAAGCTAGATAAGTGGGATCTTCTAAAAATTAAACACTTATGCTCATCAAAAGACTTCACCAAAAGAGTAAAAAGAGAACCTACAGACTGGGAAAAAAAATTTGTTATTACAAATCCCACAAAGGTCTGATCTCTAAAATCTACAGGAAAATCCAATACCTCTACAACAAAAAAACAAATAATCCAATTAAAAATGGGCAAAGGAAATGAATAGACACTTTACCAAAGAAGACATTCAAGTGGCTAACAGACCCATGAGGAAATGCCTGTGATCACCAGCCATTAGAGAAATGCAAATCAAAACTACAGTGAAATACCATCTCACCCCGGCATTACTGGCAGGAAACAAAAAAAACAGGAAATAACAAATGTTGGAGAGGCTACAGGGAGATCAGAACTCTTATGCACTGCTGGTGGGAATGCAAAATGATTCAACCATTTTGGAAAATGATACGGGGCTTCCTTAGAAAACTACAAATAGAAATACTATACGATCCAGCAATCCCTCTCCTAGGAACATATCCTAGAGAAATAAGAGCTGCCACACAAATAGACATATGCACACCCATGTTCATTGCAGGATTGTTCACAATATCAAAAAGATGGAAACAACCTAAATGCCCATCAACAGATGAATGGATAAACAAACTATGGTACATACACACAATGAAATACTATGCAACGATAAAGAACAATGATGAATCTGCAAAGCATCTCACAACATGGATGAATCTGGAGGGCATTATGCTGAGTGAAAGAAGTCAATTACAGAAGGACAAATATTGTATGAAACCACTACTATAAAAACTCATGATAAGGTTTATACACAAAAAGAAACAATCTTTGATGGTTAAGAGGGAGAGGAGGGGTGGAGGTGGAAAAACACTAACTACACAATAGATAAGTGGTAATTTTGGTGAAGGGTAAGACAGTACACAATACTGGGGAAGCCAGCACAACTTCTTCAGGGTAAGGTCATGGAAGCTCCATGGACAAATCCAAACTTTTTTAGGGACCAAATTACTGGGCTGAGGCCTGTGGGGACCATGGTCTCAGGGAACATCTAGCTCAATTGACATAACATAGTTTATAAAGAAATTGTTGTGCATTGTACTTTGATGAGTAGTGTCTGGGGTCTTAAAATCCTATGAGTGGCCATCTAAGATACTCTACTGGTCTCACCCCTTCAGGAGCAAGGGAAAATGAAGAAAACTAAAGATACAAGGGAAAGATTAGTCCAGAGGACTAACAGACCACAACTACTACGGCCTCCACCAGACTGAGTCCAGTCCAACTAGATGGTGCCTGGCTACCACCACTGACTGTTCTGACAGGGATCACAATAGAGGGTCCAGGACAGAGCTGGAAAAAAATGTAGAA